CCCGGGTGCGGGCTGTCGGGCCGAGCACCAGCTGCCGCCCGTGGTAAGCCGGAGGGGCCCTTTCTTCTGCCACGGAGTCGCAGAAATGAGGCTTGGTTGTCTCAAGTCAAAAGCAGAACAGAGAAGAATAAATCCTCGCTCAGCTTATGGGGAGATGTGGCTCGAGGTGACGTTTTGCTGTCCTGCTAGATGAACAAGAGGACTGGGCAGCCTATGATAAACCTCTACATCGACAAAGAAACCGGCAAACCGAAAGGAGATGCCACGGTATCTTACGATGACCCATCTACTGCCAAAACAGCCGTCGAGTGGTTTGATGGTGAGTACGCGGGGTGTGTTGTGGGATGGAACCGCTTTCTTCTCCATTTCAGAACTAAGTTCTCGTCCGGCGGAAGTCAGCGTGTCTCTCCTTGGCGCGTGGAGGATCGTAGTCGTTTAAGGCTGGCTCTAGGTGGTCGAGCTTTAAGAGGTTCCTGCGTTTAACTGGAACAGATAAGCCTGGTGCTTGGGTTGTGCTTGTCCTCAGTTGCCCATGCTTCTGTCACCTGCTGTCTCCTGTGGCGGGAGTTTAATCTCAGTCCCACGGGTGGAATTTTGCCCTTCGCCAGATAACGTTTTCCCTGTGATTAACGACTCGGTGCAGTTGTGTCCCCTGTGGAAAGACGCGTGCGATACCAGGGTCGCAGCCCAAAGTGACGCTCTTGCCCTCGTGTCGCTCCTTAGGGAAGGATTTCCAGGGCAGCAAGCTCAAAGTCAGCCTCGCGCGGAAGAAGGGCCCGATGAACAGCATGCGAGGCGGGATGCCCCCACGTGAGCAGCGGGGAATGCCTCCCCCTCTCCGCGGAGGTAACGTCCATCTGTCTGTCCCCCCTTGCACCCCGTCCTCCAGCCGTGGCCTCCCGGGGTTAACGGAGCCTTCCTTGCAGGTCCAGGGGGACCCGGTGGCCCGGGGGGGCCTGGCGGCCCGAGCGGCCCCATGGGGCGGATGGGAGGCAGAGGTGGAGACAGGGGTGGCTTCTCCTCGAGAGGACCACGGGGATCCAGGGGAAACGCCTCCGGCGGGAGCGTCCAGCACCGAGCCGGCGACTGGCAGTGTCCCAATCCGTAAGTATCCCGTGCTGCCCGCGCATCACAGCAGCTCCACGTGAGCCCAGCACCGCTGTGGTCGCTCCCGCCTGCTGATAACAGCCGTCTCGGAGCGTCGGGGGCCCTTTTGTCCAAGGTGCTGGCCGGGAGAAACAGGCCTTTCCTAAAATAACTCGCTGGGCCTTCCGAGGGAGTTCCTTTCTCCCGTCGGGAGCAGGGAGGGAGGGCTGGTGTCGCTGCTGCTGGACCAGTAGCCTGGCTGACTTCCTCCAGGTCCCACTGACCAGCTTTTGCGTCTCTGCTCCTTGTGCTCTCCCGTTGACAGCTGGTGGCACTTCCCG